AGAGAGAATGAATCCCAAGCAGGTTCCTCACTATCAGTGAAGAGCCCAACACGGGGCTTGATCTCATGAACCATGAGATCATGACCCGAGAAGAAATCAGACACTTAACTGACTGAGCCACCCGGGTGCCCTTTGACAAAAATGAATTTAAAGCACATGTATGACAGAAAGATCACGTCTTTTACAACTTTAAAGTCACAACAAAAAACTTCACACAGGCTATTTAAAACTTTGAGGGAAGTTCGAAAATATTCTTAGGTTGTATGTGGGGAGAAAAGGTTGATGATCACAGTTCTAGATTAATTCTTCTTTTTATTAGATGGAAAATCTGACACACACCGCAACTGGTTCTATCAGTGGTGTGAAAGAGCCATTCTCCAGGTCTGTGTCCGATAAGCCTTCACTCAAGATAAGGCGTAACTTCTTACTGGACACCCAGGCCAAGGGTACCCCAGACACAGACTCTCTGGCAAAAGCATTTTGCTGACAAGGACTTGCCTCAAGAACCCTGGTAGGGAGAGGCCAGGGTTCGAGGTCTGACATTTGGAGTTATCTGTAGATGACCCCAGAAAGGAAAGAGACAGACTCTCTAAAAGAGAGTCCTGTACAACGCACAGGTTAGGACCAGAAGCTGGGCCAGGATGCTTGGGGCAGAAACCACTCCCCACTTCCCTAGCTCTCTGTGCCTCAGTTTCCTCATGGTAAATAAGGGATAGTAATATAACCTACTTCTTAAGGGTTAAGTAATGCTTTGAAATGCTAATTTCATGGAAAGTACAGGGCCTGGCTCATAATAAATAAATGTTATCAATTATTATTACTCTAAGATGGGAGCAGCCACAAGTATGATCAATAATTGATTTTGAACAATTGATTGTTCAAAATATTCAAACCCTTGGTTGCCCATTCCCCGCTCTGTAGAGCTCCTAACCCAGGCAATAATAGTGTCGGGCAGGCACACAGGCATGGGACAAGCACCTGCTAAAAATGCCTCGTGCGGTTCCGATTTGCACACTGCCCTCCCTCTGCTCCCCTCTCCAATTGTTGTAAGAATTATTGCAGTGCTCACACTTCAACAATGTAATTGTGTTAATGCCTGTGAAGGGATTCCAAGGGCAACTGCCCTCTCGCAGGGAGCTATGAGCAATCTGTGAAAGAAATATGCATATATTAGAATAAAAATGGGCGCCTGGGTGGCTCGGTCCATTGTCTGACTTCAGCTCAGGTCATGTCTCACGGTTTGGGAGTTCGAGCCCCACGTCGGGTTCTGTGCTGACGGCTCAGAGCCTGGAGCCTGCTTCGGATTCTGTGTCTCCTCCTCTCTCTGCCCCGCCCCCACTCACGCTCTGTGTCTCTCAAAAAATAATTTTTTTTTTAAAAAAGAATAAAAGCAGAAAGCTGGAGAAAAGAGAGAGAAAATAAAGACACCCACCTATTAGAAGAGAAAGACCGGAAGTTGTAAGGCTCAGAGGCAGAGTATGTGCTCAAATGGAGAGAATCAGAGGGACTGTTAAAGGAAGGAAAATCCCACTCAAAACGCTGCATAGGAAGGGGGCAGAGCACTTCACTGTATTCGGTAGGTCAAACGAGATGCACCCCACACAGTTAGGTGTGAAATGCATACATATTGTCAGACCATGCATGTTTTTAAAAACCTTAGGTTTAAAAATCCATTTTTAGTAACTGTGTTATAACAGAAGAGCTCTTTGATTCAAACACACGGCAGTTTTCCTCTGCCTCCTGCCTAAATCCTGGTAATTGTTTAGTTAGTGGCCAGGGAGTTAGTTTACACCACCACCGCCCTCTGCTCAGATTGGAATCCACACACACACACACACACACAGCAGAGGACAAGCCAGTCAGTACAAATAACATGCTGTCTCCTTCCCTGGATTAAGCTCACACGGGCCTCCAGGTGGCTGGATCTACCTGCTTTCCTTCTGGGCCTCAGCCTCCTTTTCCTTGGTGGGTAAGGGCGAATCCTCAAAGTCATAGGAGAAGAGGTGGAAGGGGCTGTGAGGCACATAGGGCAGCTTTTCTATGGTTGGTGATGCCTTCGGGGGGCCAGGCGCGGAGGAGGAGGGCCGGGAGGCAGAGGCAGGGGTCAGGGGTGGCAGCACGAGGGCAGGCCCAGAGGACCTGCTGCGCAAGGGGCCCCCCACTGCAGTGCTGGCTGGACATCGTTTTCCCTGGGAGGCGGCATTCGAAGCAGTGGGGAGAGCTGAGCTCTGGGGAGCAGTATCCTTTCCAGCAGGGCTCTGCTCAGAGGCAGGGCGAGCCTCTCTGCCGACCCAGCAGGGTGGAGGGCAAACAGGGAAGGAAAGGGAAGTGAAGGTTAGGAAAGAGAAAAAGATACACAAACCCCCCACTACTGCTACGGCCACTTAACTTCAGAATCCAGCTATGTTTCTTGAGCTGCAGCATGAAAGCTGGCCGGCCAACAGAAGCTTTGGTTTGTTCAAAAATCCTGGCGCCCTGAGCTTGTCCATCTGGGTGGCAAGACTTGCTGAGGGCAAGGACACATCCTTGCAAACCAGTATGGCATCTGGGCATTTCGGAGGCTTTTGTGTGGAAAATTTAACAGAGCCCCTAAGGCTCTTCTTCAATGGCTTCCCAAGCCTCCCCAGTTTCTCCCCAGTGGTTGGTTGGCACTTGAATTTCCACAATTTGAATTTCATTTCTTTCTCTTGGTCAAATCAAGGTTCTGTCCTCCTCCTAAAAAGCCCAGTCTTAAGGAAGAAGCATCCCCCAAGCCCCATACTTTAGGTCACGGCTTTCAGGTGCATTCTTGAAAGGAAGTATGGAAAAGGAAAAAGAAAAGAGATGCTAGTCTCTTGCCAGGAGTACCAAGAGCCAGCAAGGAGGGACTGGCATGATGAAGTCAAATTTTGCCCATTTCACACTTTTCCCACAACCTATCTGCACGACTAAGCCCATCTGGACTCCTTCAGGCAGCCCAATTCTGCCACAGTTATAAAACTTTTCCACCTTCACAGGACTGGATTTGGACCACTTAGATATTTTGAAATACACCCTTATAACCCGAGCATCTCCATTACACTCTGTATTTTTCAAAACCAGTCCCTCTCTCGGAGAACTGGACTCCCAGACATGCCCATTGGGAATCAGATGGGAGCTGTTTTCTCTCCTAGCTCAGATTCAGAGCTCCCTCTATATAGAAAGGCAGGGACATACCAGTTGCCCTGGCTCGAGGGGAGAATGGGATGAGAACTCACTGCAGTGTCAGCCCAGGTCTGGCGCGCGCGCGCACACACACACACACACACACACACACACACACAGTGGGGACATGGGGTTGGCATACACAAAGCAGCAGGCAGGGCAAGCTGTGAAGGACACCAACCCAGCAGAAGTAAGCAGAATCTTTCTTGCCACTTTAAGGTCTGGTGGGATTATGCCAGGAAATAAATATATCCAGCTCAAAGTTAATGAGTGCCTTAGTAACTGTCAAGGTCAAGCCCCGGTATGCACAACTTTATTTCCCAAAACTGAAAAGCCTAACTGCACTTTGTTCAAGAATGCCCTCCAGCATCAGGTCATAAAGAAAACAGACCTTTCAGGGGTGCCTGGGTGGCTCAGTTGGTTAAGTGTCCGACTTCGGCTCACGTCATGATCTTACAGCTCTTGAGTTCGAGCCCTACCATCAGGCTCTGTGCTGACAGCTTGGAGCCTGGAGCCTGCTTCAGATTCTGTGTCTCCCTCTCTCTCTGCCCCTCCCCTGCTCGTGTGCCGTCTCTCTCAAAAATAAATATTAAAAAAATTTTTTTAAAAGATCTTTCAAAACAGTAAATAACCATCTACCTATGTAAGTAACAATCCTATGTAAAGACAGCACATCAGGAGGGATGTTTTGAAGGTTACCCTTCAAAGTCAGATTCTTCTCTCTGGTCCTAGGTGCTGTCCCATGAGAATAGCCAAGGGGGGATGGGTGTGTGTAGGTGGGCCAGAACATGTACCTTTAAACACATATGGAGCCATACCAGTGTATTACTGATTTCTACATGATTCCCTGTGGTTAATTTTCAACCTAAGGTGGGACTACCAACCAAACTTCCTCCCTTCCCAGAGCACCCCTAACTGAATACCATTCCCTTCAGGCATGGCAGCTCCAGATAGGAGAGGGGCTCTAATAGCAACCTTTCTTACCCCCCTCCCCCATTCTGACCTGTGTGGCTCACTCTTTGTGACCGGGCCATTCCTTCCCTCTCTCGGCACCCGCACCCTGCTGACTTCTTCCCAGACATTTATTTCCAAAGCAGGGAAACAATCACTAGTTTGTCAGATCACAGAAGATTCCACGGCCCCTGGGAATGGTGGGTGTCTCAGCACATCAAATGGCCACTTTTATGTGCACTGGTGGTCTGGACAGAGAGGCCAGGCGGCGAAGAATCACACCGACTTTGAAGTTGGTAAGAAAGAGGTTTCACCCTAATTTATCCAAGATCTCTTTGATTTTGCTTATTTGCAGAAAAACAGTAAAGGAGTCCATTTGCAGTGGTAATCAATTAAATGAAAAAACATTCGACTTTAGAATTACTTTTGAATACTAGAAAATGAGATTGCCTGTGATCAATTTTTATTTTTTATAAACACATCATTTGGGGAAAATATCTATAAAATTAAAAAATATCTGCAAGGTGCCTGTATCTGTTAACATTGCCTGAAGACAGAAAGAATGTATATTGGAAAGGTATGAGCAGAGGACAGTAAACTCCCTCAAAAGGCCGTAGAACCATGTTACTTATTCTGGGTATGAAAATAAATAACAGGAAGATTTTCTGGGCTGCACGGGATGAAAAAGTACTCCTGTCCACTTGGATAAAAAGCAGAGCTGCATCATTAACATCGTAGCTACCTGTGCCAGTTTAGCAAATATTACATTAGTAAAATTAGTAGGAAGAAGGAGACACATGGAATTATCCTTAATACAATGCTGGAAGAGTTAATAACATTTTCTGATCAGAGATGAACATCCTTCTAGTCACTGTCAATCTGACTAAGCCAAAGCACTAATGAGGGAGGGAGAAGCAGGGTGAGTTCTCCATAAAGCATCCTAAGGAAGGGAAAGTGTGGTTCTCTAATGAACACGTGCTCAGTTATTTCTACAAAACTAGTCGCTCTGTGCTCAGGGAAAAGGTTTGCCAGTGGGAGCCAGTGAGGAAGGGAGACCTGAAAGGTGGCTGGCTGCAAACTATCTATTAGGAAGGAACCTCGGGCTATTAGTGGGAGCCTGGGAGTGTCCAGGCTCGGTACCTTTCCTTGCCCTGACAGGGGGCATCATCCTCTCTCTCTTCCTCTGAATTGGGCTCCGTGACTGGTTGCTCTTCTTCCTCCTCCTCCTCCTCTTCCCTGAGACAAGGCAAGGCAAAGAGAAATGCACAGAGACAAGATGGAAAAACGAGGTGAGTGTTACAAACGGGAAGATGAAACAAAAAACCAACCGGGCCAGCTGGCTGAGATGAAAAGGACACAGTCTGAGAGGAGACAGTTCTGAGATGAGGAAATCTGAATGTGGGCAGAGATACAATAACCCGGCACAGGCCGAATTTCTTTGTCAAGTTGGCTGGCTGCCGCTGCCCTGCTCCCCCCACACGCGGTTCCGAGCAGCTTCCGGCCTCGGGCAGGGCCCTGCTGTGGTTTTCCTCCTCCACACGGAACCATGCAGGAGTGTCCTTGGGGATGTCCAGCTCCCGCAGAAGGCACAGAGTCCTCACCTCACCATGCTGGTTAGAAACCACTGAGGGTCAGGCCAATCTGGAACTCACCTTCATGGCAGGGTGGGGGTGGGGGGACACATGGTTTACAAGCCACTCCCTCACTCTCAGTGTACGTGGTGCAGGGCACGCTGATCCACTTCCACCTGGAGGGTGGACAGGTGGCCCGGGTGGAGTCACAACTGTCACCTCTGGGATTTCTCCTGGTGCCTCCGGCGATGAGTAACCGTGAGGGTGGCCTAAGTGCGGGGCCGCCTGCTGTTCCTGGTGGAGGAAGGCTGCCTGCAGCCGACCCACGACCCACGGAGAGCAGAGTGTGGGCGTGGGAGGCGGTGCAGGTAGCAATCCCACGACAAGTTTAACCCTTGGATCTGGTACTGCTGAAGCTCCGCCCTCGCCTTTCGCTAACGGAAGATAGTAAATTCTCACTTTTGCTTAAGACTTTAATTTGGGTGTTGTCCTTGCAGCTACATGAGTACAGGCCTCGATAACCGAGTCACTACCCTCCTTTGGGCTCTAAGCCCTGTCAACACCTGACTCCTGTCATGGCCCACACAGAACACCTAGCCCAGGCCCCGTGGACATATCAATCCCTCGTGTTCTTGAACTCTAATAACTTTCACCTTTTGTCACTTCAGCCCCTCCCACCCTGGACCTCACCATCAAACAGAACCGGTCCACCTTGGAGATCTTACATCCAAACCTCCTCCCCCACCCCACCCCTCCACGACCCCAAGCCCTCATTCACCCCCTAGCTCTCATTCACCTCCCGCCAGAGCTCCACTGTCATCTCCTCGAGGCCATCCTCTACCCTCTCAATGCTGCCAGCTCCTTCTCGCCCTCAGTCCTCCAGAATTCACCACTCCCCACCCCAGGCATCATTTTCCCAACATCTTCAACCCTTTTGCCCCCCACTGTCCTCCGCTTGTTTTCTCTTTTCACTGAAGTATAAAGTACATTCAGAAAAGTACACAAATCACTGAAGTTTCGCAAAATAAACACATCCATAAAACCAGCACTCCCCTAATGCTCCCTTCCGACTGCTTCCCTTCCCTCCCTCACTTCAGACAGCAGAGGTCAGTTAGCCTGGCCTGGTTTTCTTCTGTCTACAAGGAATCATACCATATCCAGCTTCTTTTGTTCAACGTAACACTTGGGAGACTCATCTACACTGTTATAGGTCATTGCAGACCATTCATTCTCATTGTTATATAACACTCCCTTGTATGAATAGAGCACAATATAGTTTACCCATTCTACTGCTGATGATAACAAGACACTTTTCAGTTTGGGGTTATTTTGAACAGGGCTATTACGAACATTGTAGCACAGGTCTTTAATAGAACACATGTACATATTATTATGCAGTATGTTATCTAGGAATGACATTTATTGGTCATATGATACGCTTGGGTTCATCTTTATCAGGAACTGTTAAACAGTTTTTAAAAATGACCTGGTAGGGGTGCCTGGGTGGCTCAGTCAGTTAAGCGTCTGACTTTGGCTCAGGTCATGATCTCATGGTTTGTGGGTTCGAGCCCTGTGTGGGGCTCCGTGCTGACAGCTCACAGCCTGAAGCCTGTTTCCGATTATGTGTCTCCCTCTATCCCTGCCCCTCCCCTGTTCACGCTTTGTCTCTGTCTCAAGAAAAAATAAACATTAAAAAAAAATTTTTTTAAATGACCTGGTAAATTTAAATTCCCATAAGTAGTATATGAATACACTGCCTGTTCTACATCCTTGCCAAGAGTTGGTGGTTTTTGTTTTTCTTTTTGAGTTTTGTCTGTTTCATTTTAGCCATCTAATCTGTGTGTAGCAACATCTCACTGTGATCTGAGTTTCCTTTCTCTGATGACTAGTGAAGCTGGGCACTTTTGTCATACTTTTTGGGATTCTCCATTCAGATATCCTCTTTTTGAAATGTAAGTACTTCACCCATTGTTTTAAATCCAGGTTGTATTTTTATTTTTGATTTGTACTTCTTTACATAATTTGGGGACAAGTCCTTCTGTCATACTTAATGTGTTGCAAGAATCTTTTCCCTCCCTGTGGGTTGCCTTTGGACTCACTTCACGGTGTCATTTTTATTTTATTATTTTTTTTTAACGTTTATTCATTTTTGAGAGAGAGAGCGAGAGAGAGAGCACAAGCGAGCATGAGAGGGGAAGGGGCAGAGATAGAGGGGGACAGAGTATCCGAAGTGGGCTCTGAGCTAACAGCAGAGAACCCAATGCAGGGATCAAACTCATGAACCATAAGATCATGACCTAAGCCAAAGTCAGAAGCTCAGGTGCCCCTCATGGTGGGTTTATTTATTTATTTTTTTAAGTTTATTTATTTTTGAGAGAGACAGAGACAGAATGCGAGGGGGTTAGGGACAGAGAGAGAGGGAGATACAGAATCAGAAGCAGGCTGCAGGCTCTGAACTGTCAGCACAGAGCCCGATGCGGGGCTTGAACTCACGGACCGCAAGATCATGACCTGAGCTGAAGCCGGCCGCTCAACCGACTGAGCCACCCAGGCGCCCCAGTCATGGTGTTTTTTTAATAAACAAAAATTCTTAATCTTAATGAAGTCCTACTTATCTTTTTTGATAGTTAGTACCCTTTGTGTCCTGGTTTAAATTGTTTTGCCTACACCAAGGTCTCAGAGATATTCCCCTATGTATCCCTCTAAGCTTATTACCAAACTGTCTCCCTTGGGCTCAACAGCTTCTGAGTCTGCACCAAACTGTCACATGACTTGTGTGTGCCATGGCCTTACTCTCATGAGTGGCAGGACACGACCAGGGCAGGCAGCACAATGACCTACTTGGAGGGCCCACTTACAGAATGCCCTATGGTCAAAGCACTGGCCTTGCCCTCCTATCCAAATGGATGGAGAAAGAAATACTGCCTCACGGTATGCAGGAATTTCTATGCTTGATTTTAGTTTCAGACCGTGAAAAAATTAGTCAAACAGAATCTTTTATGCTGATCATATTTAAGATGAAGAATAAGTTCAGACAATTTTGCTTTTCCCCTCGCTGAATTTTCTCTTAAAGTAGAACTTAACTTTGTTTATATTTGTGCAAAAAGAATTCTGGGCCTTTGGCCCTTGTTTTTCAAATACCACTAGGGGTGTTTTGTTTTTAACTGATGGGGAGTTACTGCAGGGGACAGGTCTACTGTGAAGCCAATAGGCACTTTCCTTTTTACAATTGTCTCAAACTGGAGACCACCCCTTCCACGTTGGAAAAGACACTGAGAGGCCCATAGTCTGACCAATTCTGTAGGGCAGAGTTTTCTTCAAAGCCAACCTTACTTCCCAAATTTGGGTCTCAGGCTGATGTCACATTTCTTAGGCTTCAAAAACCAAACAACCAAACAACACAAACACAACCAAACAGGAGCACCTGGGTGGTTCAGTCAGTTAAGCATCTAAATTTGGCTCAGGTCATGATCTCACGGTTCCTTAGTTCACGACCCGAGTCGGGTTCTGTGCTGACAGCAAAGAGCCTGGAGCCTGCTTTAGATTCTGTGTCTCCCTCTCTCCCTGCCCCTCCCCTACTTGCTCTCTGTCTCTGTCTCTCTAAAATAAATAAGCATTTAAAAAAAATTAAACAAACAGGACAATGAATGTTGCTGAGCCTTTCAAAAGTACAACAGAAACATTTAAAACAGTATTAAAGTATATTCTAGGGCCAAAATACTATGGGTGAGGAAAAGTAAAGCCACAAATTCAGAGAAGGCATTTCAGTACACCTAACAGACATAAATTCATATCAAAAATATACAAAACATATTTTAAAAATAAAAACACAACTATAAAATTGTGCAAAACATATGATCATGGCCCGTAAACATGTATGAAGAGATAGTTTAACCTAGCAATCAGGACATATAAATTAAGACCACAATGAGATACCATCTTATCTCTGCTTGGAAAAATTAAGACATCTGGAAACACCAAGCTTTGAAGAGACTATAGGTCATCTGACTCACATATTGCTGACAGGAGTGTGCACTTAGGAAAAAGAACGTATATTTTTTATCATGTCAAGTTAAATTCCTGTACCATGAGCCAGCAGTGCCACTGCTTGATGGCACTACTATACCCCAGAGCAGTGCTTCTGACTAGGGTGATTCATCCCCCAGGGGACATTTGTCAATGGAGATCATTTTAGTTGCCACGACTGGGGAGCAGGTGCTACCGTCTCCTGGCAGGTAGAAGCCAAGGATGCTGCTAAATATCTTGCAAACGTACAGGACCGTCCCCCGCGACAAAGAAAAATTCAGTCCAAAATGTCAGTACTGCCAAGGTTGAAAAACCCTCCCTAGAGATACTGAAACACTTGTGCACCAAGATAGGAGTCTAAAAATATTCTCAGCAGCACTTTTTGTAATTGCCAAAAAATGGAAACAACCCAAATGCTCACTGGTGACAAAAACAATCAACAGGTTGTGGTATATTCCAAGCAGTGAAAATAGAGGACAGTTGACTTCACGTGACAATATGGATGAACAGGAGCTGCATAATGTGGAGAAAAGAAGCTCAAAAAGGAACAATAAATATGACCTTCCTGAAAGTTCATAAAGGCAAAACTGTAGGGTGGGTTTAGTTACATGTTTGATACTACTACGAAACAACAAAAAA